TTTTTTTTTTTTTTTTTTTTTTTTTTTTTTTTTTATCAAGGCGTTGACGAAAACTCTGAAAAACTCTATTTACCAGACAAAGCAGTTTGATAACTTTTCATTTCTGGCCAATGAAATATAGCGTGCGCGTCAAGTCACTTCCCTTGAGTTTGTCACGAATTCCTGTTGTAAGTAAACACACCCATTAAGGCCATGTTCACACTAAACCGGATAGCTTTTGGGCTGACAACCAAACTGGATGGGGCTTTTGTTCACACATGATACGGTGACTTCGCCTCCGGTCTTGGAAGTGTCAAAAAGTGGACCCGCCGTCATATGTCAAAGATGTTTCGGCCGCTCTTCGTCGAAGCGAGGAACCTATTGAGACTGAAGTAAATATTTAGAGTGAGGATTAGAATTTGATGCAGATCCTCTCGGTCAACCGCAGAGGCGATGTTCGGTGTGTGTAAACTGGGCTTGTTACAGTTCTGTGCCGTTACCGTTCATACTTTTCCCAGATAGTTTTTCTTCGGCACAAAGGCATATCCTTCGGATCGATTACCACCACTTTATGATTCCGGTCTTCTATTGAACGTTTTAGTGTTTGGTATCGCGCCCTTCTGACTCAGTAGCAAAATGCAACATGATACGTAAAAAATATCTCACGATATTACATACTAAACTGTCCAATAAGTTATAAGTCATCTTTTGACCATTTCTCTATTTGCTGTTTACAGGGTCTGTGGTAGCCATAATCGTCGTTGTATGGATTCTGTCCTCATTAGTTGGATAGAATTTCTACCCTTGGGACCAAAGAAATTCTATGGCATAATTGCAACTGTCGCATTCTTCTTCACACCACTCATCGTTATTTTGGTAGTTATGGTACGATCTTTCACATAGCTAGAGAGCATGCACGAGGCAGAAACGTCAGTTCGTTCAAAAAGGTACTATGCTATGCTATTGTTATTGCCATTGTTATTGATAGTCACAGGAAATCTACCACTGAACCGTACTGTCTGTGTGATCATTATCATGTGTGCTTTTTCTCGATTATACCCAGTGCTGAATGCCAGTGATCATAGTCCATGTTTTGGTAATATGTTACAAACTCATGAAAATTATAGCTCACGTTATTAAAAAAACACATATATGTCAAACCTGTATTATGCAGTCACCCTTTGGTAATGGCTTATAATTACTGACCGCTTAATACAGGTTGACGGTTTAATACAACTTTGACAGACCTGAGAGTTGTTCAAGCAAATAAAGATGGTGAAAGAGCGAACCCACGACAAAACTGCCTCAAAGTGCCTCTGCCTTTTCTTGTGCCAAAAAAGGAAGTAAGAGACCAGTAAACGCCATAAAAACTGTATCTGTTGCATTATTATGGTATATATTGTCAAAGTGACCGTCTAATAGTAACGTAACCGCCTAATGGAGGTGACCGCTTAATTCAGTTCAGTTTTACAGTAACTGAAAGAATTGATTTCCGGGATGTAGTCAAACGTCTTCTGATAGACACCTCTATTTCTTACAGCTCACTTTCTCCCAAAGATAGTACACTTCATGCAGTTCCTATGGGTATAATAATGGAAATCTTTATTGTGCGGGCTCCTGACTTTGTCCCTTTGGTGTTCGCACCGTAAAGAAGTTTCCATGCATTCCCTGTCGAAGATATAAAGTAACTTAGCATGATAAATACACCACCCAAATACAAGTTGTTAAAACTGTACTGGGACAGCAAATCAAAACACTTCCAAAAACTCTAAGCGCCCTCGTCGCATCGTGTTTATCAGTCGTCGGATCTCATCAACCACGTTATCTTTCATTACTTGACTATTCAATGACGCTGAATATTGGTGTTGATTTTAGGCACGTGCACTATCCCCCTTTAATGTAGGGCCAACACTGGCAAAGCACTACAAACATTAGCAACAAACAGTTCTTAATCAGTTTCATGGAGTGACGTACGCGCACATACAACATTACTAACGATGGCTAACCAACAGTGGTTTGCGCAACACAAAGAAACGCACAATGAACAACGCAATATGATGGTCACTTGATGGGAAACCACAAAAAAACTATAAAGAAGTTCGACTGACGACGACTGAGACAAAGTGAATTTTGTCGTTGGTCAGATAATTTTCACTGACGCTTTTCTTGGTTGTTGTTGTTGTTGTTGTTGTTGTTGTTTTTTCTTTGCTTTCTTTTTCTGCTTTCAAAATCACGTTAATATTTTCTGTTCATCTTTTGATTGATCTGGATTTTTGCATATGTAAGTAGATTATTTGTCGTTTATTCCATTGAAATGGACTTTGTTTTCACACCGTGTTTGGTATGCTTTAATGATTTTATTATAAGCCACAATTTAACGATGTTGCTTTTGTTTCAGGATTTGCGCATTGCTACAACAGTAGCCGTAGTCATTGGCCTTTTTGTCATCTGCTGGACTCCANTGGTATGCTTTAATGATTTTATTATAAGCCACAATTTAACGATGTTGCTTTTGTTTCAGGATTTGCGCATTGCTACAACAGTAGCCGTAGTCATTGGCCTTTTTGTCATCTGCTGGACTCCATTTTTTGGCATCAACTTCGCGTTCGCGGTTTGTATAGCCACACTGTTCAAGGGAGCTGGTTGTTCAGGCCTTATGACTTTGCCAACGTGGATTCTTTCGGTAAACAAGTGGCTTCAGTACGGGAATTCTGTTTGTAATCCCGTCATTTATGGCTTCCGCAACAAAGATTTTCGGCGAGCGTTGCGAAAGATGTTACTCGGATTGTGCTGCTAAAAGGTGCGGCCGTCAGATTACATCACGAGCGCGTACGGACGCACGGTACGAAGAGCTTACTTACGGCGAGAATCAAGCTTTGAAAACTCACGATCAGTCATCTTCCTTCCCAACGTACCGCTTGGAATGTTTGACGTGCGGGACAGCTACCGTAAGGCGATACAAAGCGGACGCAGCAAGCCGATCAAGCTTAAATCTACACAAAGAAAAGTGTAGCAAATGCTCTACTATCAATGAACGTTGACGCCTTTCGCACTTCAAATGAATTTACTTCCAGTACGAGTGTCTGGGATTCGTCTTCCGAGGCTTCCGTCTCTCCAGCGGAGCTTTGTAACCCCGCCTTCGAGGAGGACGATCAAACCGATATCTGCCCTATTGATCAAGCGATACCAGTGAGAGATTCTAACGATAATATCTCCTCAGAATCAACTAATTCTATGTATAAGAGTTCCTCAAAAGGGTCTGTGCATAGCGAGCAAGCCTATGTTCGATTTTCGGATTCCAAAACCAGGGAAAAGGATAGCGAGCCCAAAACCGTTGTTAACCTTGGTTCTGCTTTGGACAGGAAAAGGTCCTTATCAGAGATATTTCTGCGTACGACCAGTGCTAAAGACAGTCTCAAAAGAAAACTGCGGTCGTCATTTTCCTAGAAATACTTCACGGATAGTAAAGAAAACGTTAACCTTGATTATGCTAGTATGTAACCGCGGTGATTATCCTTTCGAAGAGTTGAGGTTTTGCACATTTTATGCCAATGAAAAACAACAAAAAAAGACTGACCGTGGCTACGTACGAGCAAAATATGGTGGCCCCCTTTAGGATCTTTGAGATCTTCCGCTGCAGAATCCATCGACTATAATCCCTCAGTAGGTACGGTTAACATTTTATCTTCAGCTAATGTTTGAGTCACCGCACTATATTTGTGTGGCAGTTCAGCGAGTTAGAAGGCCCGACATAGCAAATGTGAAAAGTAGACTCCAGTTTGACTTATTTGTTCTACTTGTCCTATTTATCTTTAGCAAAGTGACCTCATTCTTAACTGTAGCTAGTGAAAGTCCTTAAGTACAAAACCAATGAAATGCTTTGCTAACTAGCTCTAAAACACCTTAATAGTGTAGGTGGACTATGATGATGACTGTGATAAAACGGAAACTCTGATTGGCTTTCGTTTTCTAGCTAAGACAGTTTAATTTAGGGTCGAAAAATCATTTAACCCTCTTCATTCGGTGGGGCTTTTGAGCTGCTTTAACTGTTAAAGATAATTCCTGTGTTAGCCAACTTCTTGATTTTATCACACACCCTTACCATGTAAGTATTTTTGAATTTGCTTAAAGTCTACTTTAAGGGAAAGTTATACCCAGAAGTTGGAAATTATCAGTGCATTTCTTGTGTAATTTTGGTGGCCGTAGCATGATCCGTTTTGAAGCAAAAAAGCCCCGTTAGTGAATAACGTTAAGCTAAACCTAATTTATTAACACTTTCAGCTAATGATTCCGATGAGTAGTGGCTTTGTACATATTAGGCACCTAGGCACTTTTATGTTTATTGTCTTATCATTCCATTAGTTCTATTATTATCATTATTAATATTTTTATGAGGCAAATGGGCCAGCAGCCCATGCAAATATCACATGCAGAGAGAAGATGGGTGGCATTTTGTTAAAATACGTCGTAGACATGTCCATATATTAAACGTTGATTATATCTACCATTAAGGCGTTAAGCAACCCTGTTCCTGCGAGCTTCCAGATCCCGCACATGAGACCAAGAAGGTAAGATTTACAATGTGACATTTTAAAATAAGTGCACGAAATTCCCTTATTACGTTGGTTAAATTCCCAATAGCTTCTTGCAACGTGTCGAGACATCACGTCTTTTAAAAAAAGTCAAAAAGCAAAATTTAGACTCTTACACTGTTTATAAGCAACAAACCCATAACTGAACAGCTGATGAGTGAAATGCCTTATCATTCATACTACACCCTGCTTTTTAAACAAATTTTCCTAGGTTTTCTTCTCCGTACCACCAGCTTCAATAGAGCAAACTGAGATTAAAAGCAGGTCAAACATCATTCAGCCCCTTGTTCGATATTTACATCCTTAGTTCAAAATATCAAGCGCTATGCTCACTACCCTGGTTTCCAGAGGTTATTTTTTTTCGTATCTAATTCCTAACAAGTAGTAGGGGAGGGACCGGTTACTCCTTTTCTTTGCGGATTTAATTAACTTTTTGTGCGGTATAAATTAACGCAGATGACGTCATGCATCACATTAAGATAGGATGATGTCATAGTTTAAATTAATGCCCATGACGTCACGCATGCCGTTAAGATAGGATGATGTTATAGTTTATTTTTAGCTGGCTGACGTCATGCATGTCATATAGATAGGATGACGTCATAGTTTATTTGTAGCTGGCAAGGAGCAAGTGACGTCAGAATTTCCTAGAGTTGACGTCATCAAAAAATGTCGAGATCATAATCTATAAACAGAAAAGTGATTTTTATATAATTAGCTATTTGCTACAGTCTTCTGATTAGATATTGTTTGCTATAGTCTTCTGA